TTTAGATAGAGATACAAATTGCCTCATTAGCTTTATTAATTAATAAAATATTGGCTTTTATTATATTAAATATACAAGTCAGTTGAGCTATTTTGCATTTTTATATTTAGAATTTAATTATTACGCAATTTTTGTGTAATTTCAGTAAGTTAAATTTCATATATATATGTACGTATCTTTAAAAACATGATATGTATAGTGCAGGAAATTTAAAAACCTCAATCTCCATTTTAAGATGTTGCATAAAATAGTAACTTATTGAGAATAATTTCTTTATCAACCTCTATAGAGTGATGGGCATAGAAATAATACTTCAAGAATAATATGTATTTAATAGGAGCTGTTTTATGCATATAGCTGAAACTTCAAATAAGCTACTACTGAATTTAGCTTTTTGTTCTATATAAAATAATTGAGGTTTTTAGGTTTCCTGCACTGTATGTACGTAAATATGTAATATCTATATTAGATATTGCATAACGTAATATGAAATCTAGCTTATATAAGATTAAATAAAATTAAATATAAAATAATAACCTTCATAATACAACCCTAGGCATGTCAACTATTTCGACATTTATTCAACAGTATTATCCAAATGAAGCAGATATTATTTGGTGGTAGTTGCTTCAATATAAAACATGAACTGGTGTATTTAACTTTAACTTAGCTTGGAATTTAGTTGAAGAAATGGATCTAGTTGCTTGGTAAAAAGGAAATTTTGAAGAATCAGCACCTGAACTATACAAGGTTACATCTAGAATTCTCATAATTCCATCATCATCAGCAGCTTCTGAGTGAAATTGGTCAAATTTTTTCTATATTTATGATAAAAAATAAAATAGATTAACACTAGAGAGAGTATTAAAGCTAGTATATATATACAGCAACTACAAACTTACATATCCAAGATTAGAATTATTTGATATAATGGAGGCAACAGTATGTTCTAATAGTAGGCCTAATGAATTTCATAAATTTGAATTATTGGACTCTTGTGATAGTGATGGTAGCAATGAAAGTGAAGATGAATTGGCAGAAGGTGATGAATTGGCAGAAAGCGAAGATGAGAATATAGAAATATCTGAATCAGAAATTGAGTCACTAGCTGAAAGTGATACAGATAACAAATAATAAATTAGAGTTTATAATTGTAAGTATAATTGTTTGTTAATTAGGATTAGAGCCAAAAAGATAAGGCCTTTATTAATTAGTTAAAATAGTAAATATTAAAATTAG